CTCTCTCTCCCCTCTCTCTCCCCTCTCTCCCCTCTCCCCTCATTTTTATTTTTTCATAAGTTATTTCGGTACAGGTGATACCTGGTTGCAGGAGTAAGTTCTTTAGTAGTGATTTGTGAGATTTTGGTGCATCCATCACCTGAATAGTATACACTGCACCTTATTTGTAGTCTTTTATCCCTCGCACCCCTCACCACTTCTTTAACCTCTACTTCTATCTGCTTCTTGTCTTATCCTATTATTTCTAGCAAATCCCAAACACAATTTGAATCATAAGTATTTTAGTATGTATTTTCAAACAAATACATATTTTTAAAATAAATACATTTATTAATTAATTAATTTTTTGGAGAGGGAGTCTTGCTCTGTCTCCTAGGCTGGAGTGCAGTGGCCTGGTCTCTGCTCACTGCAACCTCCACCTCCTGGGTTCTAGCAATTCTCCTGCCTCAGCCTCCTGAGTTGCTTGGATTACAGGCGCACACCACCATGCCCTGCTAATTTTTGTAATTTTAGTAGATTTGGGGTTTTGCCATGTTTGCCAGGCTGGTCTTGAACTCCTGACCTCAGGTGATTTCCCCGCGTCAGCCTCCCAAACTGCTGGGATTACAGGTGTGAGCCAACACACCGGCCTTTTTTTGTTTTTTGAGAGAAGGTCTTGCTCAGTTGCCCAGGCTGAATTGCAGTGGCACGATCACAGCTCAAGTGATCCTCCCTAGGGGCTGGCACTGTAGGCACGTGCTACCCATAGATGCCTTATTTTTAAATTTTTGGTTGTCAGGGGACTCAGGCTTGTCTGAACCTCCTGGCCTCAAATGATTCAAAGTAATAATACCATTTTCATTCCTAAAACCCAACTAGTTCCTTAATATAAAATATTATATAAGCATATTCATCTACATCTTCTTAGGAAAAAAAAAATATCATGCTGGGCAGGGTGGCTCATGCCTGTAATCCCAGCACTTCGGGAGGCTGAGATGGGAGGATCACTTGAGGCCAGGAGTTCTAGACCACCTTGGGCAACTTGGTGAAACCTTGTCTTTACAAAAAATACAAAAATTAGCCAGTCGTGATGACATCTACCTGTAGTCTCAGATACTTGGGGCAGGGCGGAGGCAGGAGGATTGCTTGAGCCCCAGAGGTTGAGGCTGTAGTGAGCTGAGATGGTGCCACTGAACTCCAGTCTGGGCAACAGAGTGAGACCCTGTCTCAAAAAAATAAGAAAATAAAAAATCCAGTTACTGTTGTCTCATAGATGACACATTTGATTGATTAATAGTTGTTTGCATTAGAATTTAGATAAAATCTACATGTTGTGATTAGTTTGAATATTTAAGTACTTTCCTAATTTATAGTTTATAGGTTCTTTCTCTGTCTTTATGACCTCCCCCTTTAGTGTATTATTTAAGAAACAAGTTGGTTTGTCATATTTTGTTTACCACAGTATGGAATTTTTCAGTGGCAACACTGTGGTTTATTTGAACAGATTTCTCTGTTCTCTGTATATCTCTTAAATTGGTAGCTGGAACTAGAGGCTGATCAGATTCCATTTTAATTGGGCAGGAACAAGGCGGTTGCATAGATGTGTGTTCTTTATCAGGAGACATAAAGCGTCAGGTTTTGCATTGTTTTTGTTAGTTTATTTTACTTGTAATTATGTTTTTGAAAGAAGGAAGTATGTCTAGATTCATTCAAAATTTTAACAGTATTGCAATCTTTTAATGTAGTTAATTACAACTAAATCAAGTCAGCTTTGTAATCAGTCTCTTCTGAACCATAATTGACAAATTAAGTGAATTAACTTTCCCTCCCCTAAGGATTAATTATTTATTATTTTTTTAATTTTAATTTTAATTTTTTTGAGACTGAGTCTTCCTCTGTTGCCCAGGCTGGAGTGCAGTGGCATGATCTCCACTCACTGCAACATCTGCCTCCTGGGTGCAAACAATCCTCCTGTCTCTGCCTCTAGGGTAACTGAGATTAAAGATGTGCACAGCCATGTGCAACTAATTTTTGTATTTCTTTCTTTCTTTCTCTTTTTTTTTTTTTTTTTTTTT